TAAATAAATCTTAAAAAAAAAAATTGTAAGCAGTTTATCAGGTGTTAATGGTAGTTCATTCTTGGATATGAATAAATCAATAATGGTAATTTTTCTATGTACTTTTTTTGCAGGTTTTTAATTTACATAAAAATGATTTATTAACTACTTTCTTACCATCATTCTACCTACTCCTCATACATATGTATTTTATGAATATGTATATTTTCATAAATTTGATGTTCTAGAAGACAAAACAAAGAAAGAGCATAAATATCTTAAAGAAAGCAAAGATTGCACCCTGGCAATGTCCAAGGAGCAAGTATGTTACTAAAACCACTATGTTAGTAATTAATGAATTACATGGGCAAAGTAGGAAATGTATTCTTTACTCAGCTGTGTTACCTCATTATCATTGTTCGATTTATGAGGCAGCTTTTATATTACATACTATGACACATTTACAACATAAAGCATCTGAACAGATCTATAAAACTGGCTTCACTAAACACCAGTGAAGACATTGTGAAATGGTTGTCTTTACTGTTACCTCAGAAACCATATCAGCAACTGAGGGAAAAAAATATCTAAAATACTTTTACATCAAACTAAAGTTTTCTGAGTAGTGAAAAAAATTATCATAAAACAAAGAGACACCCTAATGACTGGCAGAAAATATTTGTACTGCCTATGTTCCACAGGAGCTAATATCCAAGTAAATACTCAAACTCAAATAAATCAATAACATATAAAAACAAATAAGCAATTAAAAAATGGACAGAGTCCCTCCCTGGTGGTGAGTGGGTTAAAGCACAGCACTAAGAGGCTTAAGCCACTTCCACATGAGTTCGATTCCCCGCCTGCCCTGGAGGAGATCCACATGGCGTGGCAGACCTCTCCTGACCCGCCCGCTGCTCCCCTCAGCAGTGTACTTTGTTGATCTGCCTGTTCTGCTCCCCACTCTGTCTCTGGTGAATCTTCTTACCCTCCACATCTATGGCCATCCATACCCCAGTTCTGTATGAATAAATAAATCTTTTTTAAAAAATGGACAGAAAAGCTAAATAGACATTTCTTCAAAGATATACAAATGGCCAGCAGGCACATGAAGAAATGTTCATCACCACTTGTATCATGGAAATGCAAATCAAAATCACAATGAGGTACAACCTCATTCCTGTAAGAATAACCCATATCAAAAAGACTACAAATAAGTGTTGGGGAGCTATAAAGAGATGGGTGCCCTGTACCATGTTGTTGGAAACACAGCTACAGCCTATAATTTTTAAAAACAGTACAAAAGTTTTTAAAAATAAAAAATATATCTACTATTAGATCTATTTTACTATTACTATCCAACAAAAGATTCAAACACATTAATTTGAAGGAATATATGCACTCCTGTGTTCATTGAAGCACTATTAACACTAGCCCAATTATGGAAACAACCTAAGTACACAAGGACCCAAAGTGTTTTCCATTGACCAAACACATATCAATGGACTGAGAAGATGTAGTATGTTTATAAAATGGAAAACAACTCAGCTATGAAAAGAAAGATGAAATCTGCCTCTGCAACATGTATGGAACTGGAGGAAGTTATGTGAAGAGAAATAAATCAAAAGGAAAAAGAAAAATACTAGGTGATTTCACTCACATGTGAACTACAGAGAAGGAATACAAAGGAGAAAAAAAACTAAACCAAACATACATAGAAATCTGACTACTGAAGCTTGCAGATGGGATGAGTGGGGAAAGTAGAGCAAATGGTGGAGAGAGCCCAGTGGTGTTGGGTTGGTATTTGGTATTTGGTGTGGGGCTTGGTATTACAGGAAAAGGAGTGAACCTACTCCTTAAATTATGCACAGTGTTTCAAACCATTGTTATCTCAATAAAAAATAATACAGTGATTTTTTTAATTAAAAAATGTTCTGCTTTAAGTCTGGCATTTTACAAGATGGAGCTATGAATCCATATTTACATTAAAACAACAGTAAAAAGAATAAACTAAAAAGAATGGTGACTAGAAGGGAAAGGTTAGAGAGACAGGAGTGGAACTTATACTACTTTGGAAGCATTGTTTTGAATATTTGGGCTTAGAACTATGTAGTTAACATTATTTAAAGTTAAATTTTAAAAGCTATCCCTAAATTCAAGATCAAAATGAGCAAAGGACTCCTATGTGTATAAGCATCTGTATCAAACCACACAGAGAAGAATTTTTTTTTAATTTTCTCCATTTTTTTTTAGTTTTGTATTTTTTAATTTTTTAACAGTTTATACAGAGAAAAATTTTAAAGTGACTTTAAAACATGTAATTTAACTGGACACTCCAAGTGCGACATATTCTAATTGTAAAAAAAATGCAAATAAAAACTTGTAATCCATTCCAATAATTATGCTGTTGTATGCTGTTGAACAAGTTGGCATTATCTGACTGAGATAAAGCAAATGAGTAGTTATGTTGATGTCACTGGAACTGGGATATTTTAGCATAGGAAGAAAGAGGCAAAATGAGGTAAAAGAAAGACCTCTAGAATACCCAACTTGGATAAAATATCAGCATACATTCATGATTTTACATACACACACACATTTTCAGCTCTAATTATCAAAAAGTAATTGGAACCATGAACTCAGTAGCAATGTGCACCATAATGCCCAGATTATGATCTCTAATTATCAGTTCTAATGCAACGAAACAAGAACTCCTTAAGAACAAAATATTTGTCATACCAAAACCCAAGGAAGTCATTAAAGTCTATCTAAAGCATTATCATGTTTCTGGAAACAAATGCAAAGTCACTTGCTGGCCAAGAAATGGAATAATTTGATCATCACTTACAAAGGGGCACTGTTTCTATCATTCTTTGAAGGACAAATTGAAATACTTCAAATGTGTTTAAATTCATGAGGTCATAATAACCCTAATGGTGGGAGAGGGGAACAGGGGACATTTGAAGGTGTTACTTTATCGTTTCATTTTTTTAATTAGTAAGGGGAAGTAATCAAACACTTATCACATTTTCTCCTTTTATTAACCAAGTCTTGTCCTAACTAGAGAGTCGAGGGGAAACTTTACCTTAATATGGAAGAAATAGTCTAGCTAATAGAATGAATGATAAAACCAGAATAACATGATTTTAAAAGTATTAATGAATAAATGGATCTTGAAAACAGTCACCATAGTTGTTAATATCTGAAAAAGAGAAACAACTAGATAGCATGAGCTTCTTAGCAATGAATATAAAGTAGTCTATATTGAACAAACTTCTAGATTACAACAGGAAATAGAGAAAAATAGTTAGAAGAAAACATTAGGAAGCAATCAGCAAACTCCTGAAGGTAGGACACTTTATAGACTAGGTGAAGGGAGAAAATTTTAAATTAAGAGAGGTTTAAGAGAGATACGAATCAATTGCCATGTATGGCCTTTATTGAATTGTGAGTTTGACTAGTAAACCATGTATGGCTTTATAATACAGTATGAAATAATTTGAACACTATTGGATATTTAGTGCTATAAGTAATTTATGCTAGAATAATAGCATGGCTCTATTTTTATTTAAAAATATTTATATGGAAGAGCTGAAATATTTACAGTTGATGTAATGTCTAGGATTTGCTTCTAAATAATCTGAGAGGAGAGGAAATAGGAAAGGCTAGTAGCTAAAACTTGTGAGTTGTTCCAATCAACTGGATAATTCAAATTCATTCAAATCTAGTAGATGATTTTATCTACTTTTCATATGTTTACAATTTTCCATGTTAAAAAAAACTTTTGTTAAAACAGAGTATCTCATGTTGTGAGACTGGGCCTACAAAAATGATACATGGAGATATTAAAATTCAGGGTAATTTAAGAGTATTAAAGGAAAAAAAAGTTACTGATTTAGTTATTTGCATAATATTATTTCCTTTGCACTAAAAACATCAGCATTCATTGGAAAACGTAATACTAATTAAAGAGGAGAAAACATCACCACCCAAGATGTCATTTCATTCATTAGAAATGAAAGAAACGTGCCTACAAGGCAAACTATAAGCCATGCAAAGCTATGGTTTCTGTACCTATGCTATTTGCCTAATAGTTGCATGTTGATAATGACCTTCCAATTAGCATCACCATTACACTGATTTTCAGAGACAGGAGAAATCTATGAATGATCTATAGAGCCCATTAATGAATAAGATTCTTGCGCACCCATAATGTCTGTTTCCTAGTCTTCAGCAAGAAAGGGAAGTGAAAATTATCTTCTTCCAACTCCTACTCCTGGATATAACAAGGAGGACGTAGCTTGGAATAAAATTAATCCTAGAATGGCATTAATATAAAAGTTCTACGTTGAATACCACATTTAATTTCCCCCTTCTTCAGAATGTAAAATAAATATTTTTCCATTGTCTGAAATACTGTAGGATTATATATACTATAGAAAAGCCTTTAGTAATTACGAAGAAACGCCAGTATTCTAGCTGACTTGGGGTAAGGATGTTCTGCTCACAGAATAATATCAGAAACACTCAAGGCATTCTGCAGATGGAAATATAATAGAAGTGAAAAAAACGCGGATGCCCCCCATCCATTTCGAAGTGTTCCTTCCGCCTAATTTCCGACATCTTAATAGCAGAAGTCAACCTTAAAAGTTCAACTTAGCCTGAAGTCTCAAGGGACACAAAAGTTGCCGAAGTCCGAGGAATGAGTCATTTTGCTCTGTTTTGATGAGTAATCTCAAGTGTCATGGAACTCAGCTCTCAAGAGGGGAGGGGTCGTCATATCTGCAGGCGGAAGACTGGTCACTCGAGATTGGATGCTGAGATCTCGATTTTCCTAAAATTGCGTCATTTCGAACCCAATGGGTCCGGATGTTCTGGGCACCGACGGCCTACCGTCTCGGAAATTCTCAATCAGACGCAAGCAAAGGAGAGGAGGCGGCTAATTAAATATTGAGCAGAAAGTCGCGTGGGGAGAGTGTCACGTGGGTTTCGACGCTCGTCGAGCCTCGGATAAAAACTGCGCGGCACCAGGCAAGCAAAACAGTGCTCTGTGACCTGCCTCTCCATCACCGCGGCCACCGAGAGTGCGCAACGCCCTAAGCGCGCAGACCAGCAAGAGAGAGCCCGCCGACCAGTCCTCCGCAGTAAGTACCTGCGCGGTCTAACACCGCCTTCTGCACCGCTCACGCTCCGTGGTGGCGGCTGTTAACTGTGAATGGACATCTGGGGGGAAGGGAGGAGCGGTATGACGGTGGGGGAAACAGCTGGGAGACGGGTTTCCCAAAAGCAACAGTCCCTGTGTTTTAACACCTGCAAAGCCTCCTGGCTTTGTGGATTGGTGGTTTGGAGGGTTGGAGGACTGGGGAAGTTGGGATCCAAGAAAAGGATCTGAGAAGCTTTGAAGCGCGATTCTCTTCCCTAAGGGTACAGGCGAGACTAAACCTTCCCTAAGTGTACAAGCGGCCCCGGGTTGTGGAAGCCAAAATTCGGCTCCCCAACTCTTGAGGTAGCCGCCTTCAATATTTCTTTTTTTCCCACTTTTTCCAGAAATCCAACATGAAAATTCTCGTGGCCTTGGCAGTCTTTTTTCTCGTGTCTACTCAACTGTTTGCAGAAGAAATTGGAGCTAACGATGATCTAAATTATTGGTCTGATTGGTCTGACAGCGACCAGATCAAGGTGAGACCCGGTCGCAAGTCAAGCCGCGCTGTTCTTACTGACTCGGGAGTTGTCACTTTCTCAGCCATAGCACCCAGGGTAGGCTGGCGGGCACCGAGGAGAGGGGCCACCACCCGAGGGGTCGGAGACGCGAGGGACTGGGCTGAAAAAGAACGCCACCCCTGGGCCCCGCGCGGCTTATTGATCCCAAGACCCAAGTTCTCTCCCGAGGGCTGCATCGTCGGATTTCAGTAACTCCTTGGAGGAATGGTTCCTACCTCAGTGAGCCCGAGGTTCTCACTAAAATCGGGCACAATAAACAACCTCTAGGGGTTTGGTCCCCTAAAAATGGGAATTTCGAGAACTCTGGTCCAGCTGCAAAGACCAGGCATCTGGCCACGCTTTGCGGGGGCAGAGGAGCCCTTGCTGGTCGCAGGCAGAAACAGCGGCGAGGGGATAGCTACCCGGGGCTTAAAGGGAAGGGGTGGAAGGAGAGCTAACTTCCTATCTTGACATTTATTTTTATGGACCTGAGGACGTAGCCGCCAAGTTTTCCTTTAGGTGGCTCTCAGGCTTTTGGTTCAAGGGAACGCGCCTCCGGAGAACAGAGAAAGTCGCGCCGTGTATGTCTTTTGACGAGCGCTGTCACCCTTTCCCAGCCCCCACACACCTGTGAGCCTTTAGAGCGGTGAGGTGTCTCTAAAATCGTTGCCAGAGACCAGACTTCTCCCGCCCTGAAGGAAAGCAGAAAGCGCGCAGAGATTGTTTGGTTTAGGCGGAGGCGCAGGTACTGAGTCCCACCGGGATCTGTTCTGGAGGGAGCCGCAGTCGTTGACCTCTACTCAGTCCTGGTCAGGGGAAGCCCGGCTTCTTTTTGCGTCTCCCAGAAGCAGGCTTCCGGGGCCTGATCCGTTGATCCCAGCCGCCTGCAGCGCTCTGGGACAGGGGAGCACCAAAGGAATGACTGCGGGTTCTGGGCGTGTAGCATTTATCTCCCACACACCTCTTTGCCCCTGCGTCTGTTCCTCAGGAGGAGCTGCCTGAACCCTTCGAGCATCTTCTGCAGAGAATCGCCCGGGGACCCAAGTCTCAGCAGTTCTTCGGATTAATGGGCAAGCGGGATGCTGGTGAGATGGGCAGCCAACCCTCTCTTGCTCTATGGAGATCCGCCAGTCTCCTTGTCCGTTCTCAGAGCACATGTCTCTGTTCTTTGGTTATTTACTTTTATCCTAAAAAGGGGTGTGATTCTGGGCGCCACACTGACCCATAACCTCACTCAAATACTGAGTTGCCCATGGAGGGAGGGAGAGATCCTTTTTTGCATGCTTCACTGTATTAGAATGACCCAAATCACCAAGAATGGGATCCAGCCTTGGCTAAGTGCTCTCTTGAATGAAGATCCAAACTTAAATGGAAGGTGCCTGAGTCCCCAAAGGGTTGTACTCCGAATGTCTAAGTGCATGTGGAAACTGATTTTAAATCATTGGGGTACACTTAAGTGTTCAGTGTCTCCTGAAAGGAATATTGAGTTTCCTTGAATTCATCATCACACCACTGGGTGGAACCTGTAGTTAACATCAATTCATCTCTTGTCAGATTCCTCAATTGAAAAACAAGTGGCCCTGTTAAAGGCTCTCTATGGTAAACATTTCTATAAATCTTTATTATAGTATTGTGAATGTACACCTAGTAACACTGAGACTGGGCAGAGATAAAGGTTCTTGACTATGTCTATTTAATGAGACAGATTTGCATCTCTCTCTTTCCTGAGCACCAAGTGGATGGCCCACCTTGAGGATGTGTGTCTTACAAGAAAACAGAAAGATGCCTATCAATTAGTAACAGATCTCAGGAATGTGGCAACCCTGGATTGAGCGGCCCATAGAAAGCATTTTAAAGTATTTTGTTTTTATTATTAATAATTTGGTTAGCATTTATGGCTCTGCTATATTTCTCAGGCTAGTATGTGAATGGAAAATAGTATATATTTTAAAAATAAATTTATATTAAATTATCTTTAAAAGATAAAATATAGCAACTTTTCAAACAAATCTATTGCAGTATACTATTGAAGGAGAATTACTGGGGCTTTGGTGGTGAGCAAGGTGTAATGACATACATTTATAGAGTTGTGAAAAATTCCCCCTAAAACATATACAATTGCTGTAAATCAATATTACATCAATAACCATAATTTAAGAAAGACCAAGTCTATTATTTGCTAATTTTATTTTTCTATTTTTTAGGACATGGCCAGATCTCTCATAAAAGTAAGTTCAATATTATCTTGATACTTATTAGATACGAATGTAAGTTACATTGAATTCCACTTTATATACCACCTGATCTTATTTTCTGTCATAACTTAATATTTTTAATTAAGACTATGTAAGAGTGGAAGGAAATCATATTACATGCGGAACATAATTGCTTAAAGTTCTATCATTTTGAAATACCATACTACAAAAAATATGATGCATTAATGTTAAAGATCCTGTATTTCTCAGCAAAAGTACTCCTGAATTCCTGACACAGAAACTGTGAATTAATGTTTATTGTTATTCTAAGCTGCTAACAAAGGGAAATGCTTCAAGTTCTATAAATTATTAATTTTAGATATAAGAATTTCAATGCGAAGGGTTAAAAAAAGTCCACCACACAGTCCTATTTCCCACTGTTGCTTCCCTTGCAAAAATATAGAAAAGCACAACCTCTTCCGATTCATTTCAGTATGCTGGATCATATAACATCTTTTATTACTAGGGTAATTCAGCAGCCAATTAAGACGATTGAGTGAGTGTCGAAGTAGTGAACCCATACAGAAATATAAAGGTAGAAAGAAATGCAGTTTTTGACCCCATAATTGAAGGGAAAACCTCAACCAATCAAAGTAGAATGCAGCATTTCTCAGGGCAGATAAATGGCAGAAAGTGACACTTAATGATTATTAGATCCCAGATTCCCAGGTAGTGGAACCAGCATGGACAGGATATCCCAGGGGTCCATCTTAATCATACCATTGATTCACTTACCTTGGCCTGGGTTTTGGTTCACTGGATGGCAGTGAGGCCACATTAGGATAACAGCCCTTTTCTCAACAAAAAGGTTTTAGCCAAGAGTCATTCTCATAGTGTAGTCAAAACAACCTTTTCTAAAGTCTTCTCTGAAAATAAATCTTATTCATGTTTACTTTCTAAGAATTTGACTTTCGAGGAAATAATATGGAGCAAAAATTCTATGTAATGAAAATAATTCTATTAGTGTTGAAACTAAAATACTTTCCAAATGGAGTAATTTCTTAAACCTAATAAAACTGAAATAATGACCTCTTAGAAGGTTATCATCATCAACTATAAGGATCTCACTTAACTCAGGTTCATTTCCTGAGAAATACAACATACTGAGTAATATGAAGAGATAACCCGGATATTTCTCTATAACACAAATGTGCAATTGACTCCCTAAAAACCAGGGCTAGCTCAAATAGAGACAATGTTTAAAACCTTTTAAGCCGATAAAACCTAATACAAATATAGGACTCTTGCTAATATCTGGTTATTGAAGTACTTTCACTGTATTGTTTGAGTCATTGATAACTTCATTTCTTTGAGCTCACCAAAATTTGAGATAGACATATATTTATATAAAGGCATGTGTTCAGAAACTTACTTATTGTTAGTGCTCGCTATAACAGTTTATTTCCTCGAAGATACACATATTAAATTACCCCTAAATGTATTTTTCCAGGACATAAAACAGATTCCTTTGTTGGACTAATGGGCAAAAGAGCTTTAAATTCTGGTATGTATAAAACCATAACTTTAAATAGTAACTTAAATCTACTTCTATTATTTTCTTTCTAAGGAATAATTTTCAAAACATTAAAAAGGAATAATAAATTTAAAATGACTATTATGGTGAAAAAAAATGAGTTGCAATAAATAAATCCAAGAATGGGTTTACAATATATTTTTCTCAAACCTTTAGCCTTTCCAGTGTCTGCCCCATTTAGTCATTACCCAACCTGAATCTTTGGCTAGCCTAATATTCTTTCCTTCATATCTGTTAATAGACCACATTTAACCTTACTGAATTAAGATATAAGGGTGGGCAGGGGGGATGGTATATGGGAAATAAGAATTATTTTTCACTTGTTACTAAGATATTTTGAAAGTGGTATAAGACATTGCATCCGGTAGTCTTCAACACAAAAAAAAAATGAACAAAACAATTCCATTAACAGAATTCATTCCTTCACAGAGTTATAGAAGCTCAAACTCTAAACATCCACTCCAGTGCCTTCAAAAAGGAAGATAATCAAATCATCCTAAATGGCTATAATTGGCTTGTCGAGAAAGCCATTACATTAGCAGGAAGGAATGCCACAATACTCATATATACTATTTTCATTCTAAACAACTTTTCCACTTGATAACTATATATTACCTTTCTCCTATTTAGTTCCTATCTTCTATGTAAATGTGTCACATACATATATCTGAAAATTCTCATTCTTTAACTCACTCATCACAGATTGTTAATGATAAATAACCCCTCTATCATTTTCATAAACATGGAACTTTTGTTACGTACATTCAGGCCTTATAGCTCCCACTTAAAGTTCTTCAGGAAAGCTATTCAAATTCTGTTGCCCTTAGTGAAACAGATTTCCAATAGTAATCATGCAATTAATTAGAAAGTAATCAGCAGCGACTTTATCCATTTAGAATATTTCAAATCTATATTTGAGCTGGTTTAATTCTTAATTATCTGAAAAGTCACACAAAAGTGATATCTCCTAGTATTTACATTGGTTCTCTACCTTTCACTTTTAGACATTACACTTTATTCTTCAGAAGAAATTTTCAGGCTGTTCAAATTTAAATTTTAAAGATGTAACCACTGTGTCTAATGAACATTTTAAACTTGTTTTATTATTTTGCATTATTTTCCAGCTTTTATTTAGAATGTAAATTTAAACTACACTGACTTCATTTGTACCAAAAGTATATACTAACCCTTTATTAGGAAAACTGTTGCTTTCTTAATAACTATTTTGGCCATCACCTCTCCACTTCCAGAACATTAATATAGGTTTGAACCTTAACTTCACAAATAATGGAAATATTGTTTTATGTAGAATTGATTAAATGTTATTAAATGTATTTAAATAATAAATTATAGAAAATAATAAATAGAATAACTGTGATAAGTCAGAATTGACTTATGACTAAATTTGCTCCTTCATTTTGGTTAAGAAATACGAAAGGAAAAGAATGGGCAAAATGTAATCCAGAGACTGTTCCATAAAATTTAGTTCAGGCAAAGTTATCCTAGTCTTCCTGTGGAGGCATCTGGTCCTTAACCATTTGTAGTCACAGACCTCTTTGACAAGCTGATAAATCTAGAATTCCTCTTCCAGGAGAAACCCTAAAACAGTTCATACACATAAAAATTTAATTACAGTTTCATAGGGTTCAGAGGCCAGGGAGGAAACTCTGCTTCCACTTAAGAAGACATACTCCTGCTAAATCACTCATCTGTCTTTCGTTAGTTAACACTGAACGCCTCACTTGTCTGAGGAACATAATTGTAATCTAAGGCTTGTCAGGAATTTAACTTAGGCTAGTCATCCTCCTAGTACAAACAAACCAGGGTAAGAAATGAACTCTTTTTCATCTTTCAGAATTTGTCCAGTTTGGGACTTAGACTGTTCTATTCCAACAGGGCATATATAGTTGATATTATATATAATATATTATATATAATTTATAAATATACATAATATATAATATATATAATCTTATAACTAACCTAAATGATAATTGGTCGCTAAAGTGATATAGGAACTGACATTACTGTGAACCTTTACCTCCTCTCTCAACAAATCCTCTCATTGAGAAAAAGTGTTTAGAATGACACCTGTGATGCCTTTCACAGTTTTTTCTGCTGTTTCTATTTAAATTCAGTATTTTCAACAGCATATATTGAGTTTTTCAAAGTTCACTACTTTCACTATCATGTGAGTATATGAAGGATTATCTAAAATGATAAAAAACTGACAAGTTTTTGATGCAGCGGTATAGTATTTAGCATTTTTATGGACTCAAACCACTTTGAAATTGCTTAGTTATATAAAATAATATAATGTAAATATAATTTTACACTAGACAATCATAGCAAATTACTAGCTACCTATATTAAGTACCTTCAGAGGAAGAAGTTAACCTTTCTCAGGCTACTGGGATGGCAGGAGATTAAGTTAAACTGTGTTGTTCTTAGATGACTCAAATGGACCTACTCACAGAGACAAGGCAGAGGATGGTTTTAGGTTCAAAAGCAATCCCTCCTTGGGAGGCATCCACATGACAGGAAGAAGGCTTCTCACCACTAGGTGCCAGGGTCATAGGAATTAGCAAACTTTTCCTGTAAAAAGCCAGTGGAAATATTTTAGAACTTGTGAACCCTGCAGGCTTCTTAGCAACTACCCAAAGCTGCCATTGTAATGTTAAAGTGGTCATAGATAATACACAAAGGGAGGGTGTGGCCATGTATCCATAATGTGTTATTTACAAAACAAAACACAAACAAACAAATCCATATGGAGCTGAATTTGGCCTGTGGTCTATAGGTTGTAGAGTCTGTCTTAGAATCAAAGTCCCACATTTTGATTTCATCCTACTACCACTGCTGGTTTCTTTAGACATTGTCTTTATAATGTACCATGGTGCCTTGAGAACACTGTAGAATGTAACAGCTTGAGAACACTGCTGAGAAGCAACATGGCAATAAATTGTGACATTATGCTTTGGGGGCACTGAATATATGATGGATGGATGACCAAAACAACTACAAACTTTGCCAGTAGGTCACTTCCTATCAGGAAACAGACTGAAGCAGAATTTGAAGATATCTAAATAAAATTCAGAAATTCTTCCATGAGGAAAACAAGTCACTATGAGTTTCAGGTAAATTACTTGTATATGCCTTGAACCTCAACTCAGTGAATCACCTTAAAAAACCTTTTACCTCTCTTTGTTCTCAGTGGCTTATGAAAGGAACGCGATGCAGAATTACGAAAGAAGACGTAAATAGACTACATAGTGTATTATTTATCGAGCTTCATTTGTGGTAATGGGCAATGAGAGGTAAAATGAGACTTGCACTATGAGGAGTAATTATTTATTTAATAATAATTGTTTTGAGTTTAAAACTCAAGAAGTGTTTATTTTTCATATTGTGCCCATATGTGTTGTAAAAGTGTGCTAGAATTCTAATATAATGACCCCTCTGAGTAGAAATCTGTGGTAATTTCCCAACAAAGCACAGTGTCCAAGTAAATTGTAAAACCCTGTCAATAAAGTCTCTGAAGAGAGAAATCACTTTTGGTTCAGATCAGACCAGCTGCTGCTAAGGAAGAAACTCAGAGTCTGGCTATGCTTCTCTATTTGTTTTCATGGTGGAAATGTACTGAGATTTGGTATCAAACTGTATTTGTATCCCTGAAGCATGTTTCATGTTTTGTGATAATATAGAGATGTTTTAAAAGTTTTAATGTAATTCTAAGGTCTTCATTTCATTGTATAATGTGTTGTGATAGTTAACATTTTAAATAAAAGAAAAAATATCTTGAGAATTCAGTCTTATTCTTTTATTAACACATATCAAATCAAGAGTTTTGGGGTTTTTTTTTTTGGTAGATGAAATATGTTCAAAATTGTTTTGACTGTCAAATAATGAAACATAAAGCCACTAATTTGTTTTCTACTGGAAAGTGTAATCTCAGTTTCGTTCTCACACATACATCTTCTTTTTTGCTAAATCATTTATCATGAGATCATTCATGGAGAAAACAATTACATTTGGGACTCTAAAGAGTAAAGACAAGTTCTGTTTATAAAAGCCTATATTTCCTTTTACAAAAAAAGATAACAATCTGTTTTAAAGATGTACTTTACTGGTTATTCCTTAGTGAATAAAACATCAGTGTGCTACTATTTCAGCCCTACTTCAAACCTAGGGAATAAATACAAAATAGGGATAAATACAAAGGAAGGTACTTGTGTATCTATTTAAGGGAAGTGATTGATATGTGTTCTAAGAACTGTTTTCTGATTGCACCAAAGGTGTGCAATATTGACAATTGGTATAAATGAGTCAGGACATACATTGTTCAGTAATAAAACTCCCCGAGTTTTGCCTGGACTGTTGTTGATCAGTGTTAAAACCATTCGTGGAAGGGAAGAACGAAAGCATATTTTAGACATTATATCATCTGTTTCTTAAAAATACCAACAAACTCTTTCCATGTTACACAGTACACTTAAAATATTTCAAATTGGGCCCTCCCTGGTGGCCCAACAAGTAGAAGTGCAGCACTGTAAGCTAGCAAGCCAGCAGTTGTCACTTCAGGGCAAGTTCGATCCCCCACCTCGGAGGTGACCCACATGGCATGGCAGACCTCTCCTATCTCACCCTTGCTTCCCTCAGTAGTATACTTTGTCAGTTTGCCTGCTCTGCTCCCTACTCTACCTCTGGTGAATCCTCTCACCGCCCTGCATCTCTGGCCTGCACCCCAGTTCTGTATGCATAAGTAAATAAATCTTCAAAAATATTTATTACAAATTATTAGCAAAATGGAGGCAGATTCACTTAGAAACCCACTTCCCATCAGTAATGTTTAATATCCTATTGAATAATAATTATTGTAATATGTAACAATCACCATCATAATACTAGCTAAAATATATAATGTATAATTATTAACATTCTTATTACCATCATCATTTTACAAATAAGGATATGAAGCTCAAAGAAATGTTCAAGTTAGAGATTATACTATGAGAAGAGTCAACATTAGAAAGGATTATTAGGAGGATATATAGAAAATTGCTATCTAACAATAAAATTAAGCAAATGGTAACAATAATACAATGGGATATGCCACCATTTAAATGGCAGGTATGGTGCATTTAGTTGTGGAGAAACAATAGTGTCACAGTCAAGTACACCTGTTGAATATGGTGAGGTCACAATGACCAGAGCGCTGAGCACACTCATGCAAACAGGACTGGAAAATGAGCCTCGAGATTACATGACCATTGGCCAGACCTCCTGGGATGAACCTTAAGCAAACTCTTTTGGTTCGCCCTAGAGTCACAAAGAATGTCCTTCCTGGTGTAGCCAGAGGTAGTTAATATTCCTCGAAAAACCTGCCTGCAGAACTTAATGCCACACACAGTTTTCACACATAATTAGCAAAAGGTCAAAATAAGGTCTGGTTAAATGTTAGATTTATGTCATGTTTGGAATGCTTCCTGTGTTGTCTAGTGCTGAGAAGTTGGGAATAAAAACCCTAGAAAAATAAAGATTGACATTGAAGCCTGGAGCTCAGTCCTTCACTCAAGTCTCTGTGACTTATTTTTTTCTAGGCCCCAGGTCCACGTTCCCCGAGATCGACATTTAGTGACTTGGAACAACCTATCCTGTATGTTGTTAGGCACAAGGTAATACAGCTGAGTTACTTCTGTTTCTACAGAGATGTTACAACAAGAAGGAATAATAGACAAGGATAAAAATTAATTTTCAGCATCAAACTTCACATTTTGAATTCCAGCTTACCCGCTAGTAGTGGTCATTTCTTTCTGCTTTATTTTCATTGAATTGATGAGGAAAATAAGACAATGGAGCTTAGGTGAGGGTTATGGTATATGATGCACATAAATCTTCCAGCATAATCTAGGACACACAGTGAGTATACAGTGAATGTTGCCTGCTGCTGTGGTAAGCAGCTCTCCACAATGCCAGTGAGAAAATAAGCACTATATTTTACCACTAAAATGTTTTTTATAAGCACACTGAGGAAGCAGAGGTGTGTGCTGGTTTCTAAATTTATTTTTCCATCAAAATAAAGTGAGGGGCGTAGCACAAATTGTGTAGCACTTTATGTGATTCATCAGAGCACTAGAGAATCCTGAAGCCTCTTCCCCTCCCTGAGATGCGGTAAGTCCCTGCAGCAGGTGCTGCTTCTCCTCAGATCCAGAAACCTAGCAACAGCATGATTAGTGAAAAGAAAAAAACCTCACCTTTAAGTTTGTATTCATTAAAAATTTACTACTAGTCCATAGTACTAATAACTGTACTAATAACTGTGGCTTAGTTTCTTAAGTAAAATACACTTTGTTCACCTATCTTCTTTCCTAAATATTTTGTTCTGTTATGAAGTAGCAGAAGGACCAATCCATGTAATTAAGTTATTGAGTACTTTAGTGTTTCAATATTTTGTTGCTTGATAGAAAGAAATGAAAAATGAAATAATGTGTTGAGACACATAAGTAATTAGCATACTATAATGAAAAACAAGAAAAGATTGAAACATAGACAAGGTCTTTATTCCTTTGTTGGGAGGGTACATCCAGAATTTTGAAAGTACTGGGTATCTCTATTGTTCAACAAGGGGGTACTTTGGTTTTTGTTCTATAGTCTTTCTTCAAAATATATACTTATGTGTGTATCTGTCTGGGTGTATGCATAAATATGTATCTATAAACATTTGTTTTGAAGGATATACACACAGATACATGTATATGTACATACACACACACACACATATATAAATACAACCTTATATGTATGCCATGCTTGGTAACTTCATACACAAAGACACACATATACACAAATTTAAAAAGCTACTGGATTCAACAAAAAAACCTTTCTCAGTTCCATCACCTGAAACTTTTCCTCAGGCACCACTCATACAAATTGACAGCTCAATGATGCTGACCAATATTTTCCTTTCCTTTATAATAAACAGCCAGGTTTATGAAGGGAATCGTAAAGAAAATCAAGTATGTGAGGAGTTGTGGATCCATTTTACTTTTATTGTCTGACCCCAGATTCCTGGACAATCTCATAAAATGAAAAATGCCTCCTCTCTACCCCCTTATCTTTGAAATTAAAAAACATTCCAATAGCAAGAGCTAAATGAAGTCTTTTAAATGAATGTGTTCATGAACCAAAATATTCTTTTTTAAGATTTATTTATTTATTCGTACAGAACTGGGGTACAGGCCAGAGATGCGGAGGGTGAGAGGGTTCATTCAGAGACAGAGTGAGGAGCAGAACAAGCAGATCAACGAAGTACACTGCTGAGGGGAGCAGCGGGCGGGTCAGGAGAGGTCTGCCACACCATGTGGTCACCTCCAGGGCAAGCGGAGATGGAACTCATGCTTAAGTGGCTTAAACTTCTTAGAGCAGTGCTTTAACCCGCTGCACCACCAGAGAGGGCCGAACCAAAATATTTTTATCAAAATAACTCAGGTTTGTACAAAGAAAAGTTTCTAGGTCAAAAAGTAAAGGCAGAAACTAAAAGCCAGTGAGTAAAATAAACCCATCTCAAACCAATAACTCTTCCTCCCATTATCTTGGTAGAAGATATTGCCAGCAGACAATACAGACAAACTTTGTGTGTATTAATTTTAATTCTTTAAAATATTTACCTATGTAATATCTTTCCTCAAAGCTACTTTAGACACATGTAAGAAAACTATTTTCTAAAATAAACCAAAGTATCTGGGATAACTTATCTTTACTTTCTTGAATCATTGTTTGGCATAAAGAAATATGTGGGGACATTTAAAAACATCCTCTAGTGCTGTTTAATAAAATGTTATTCTTTTTTATACACATTAATGGTCCCTTCTAAATGGTAGTGAGTCTATTAGTCCACACATCATTCTGCATTTACAGTCTTTTTTTTTTCCAATCCTGATTCAATTGCATTTTGCCATAAAAATATATTCTATGAATCCTCAGATAGACTTCTAGATTTTTTTCAAAATGTCACTATAATGGTATCCTGGTTACAAACCATTGTATGTGATTCAAACCCATAATGATGGAGGTTGAGTTGGGTTTCATAAAGGTAAAAATTATCTTGTAGTAGTCAGCTATATAACTGATTCATTAATTTGCCTGTTTATTTATTCATTTACCCACTCATTCATTTTGTGAATTGTCTGTTAGTTGTAAGACTTTGTGATAAGTAAATTAGACAAAGATACCAGCATCAAACTACTCACTATCTTTCAGAAGGATGAGATATTCTCTTAATTATCAAAAGAGAAATGCATCCAAAGCAAGATCAACCCTGTGATGTTAGAGACCATGTCTCTCTACCTCTTTGGCGATCCCTTCCTGAAATAGTGCTGGTTCACAGAGATGCTCATGCCTACCGAAGGAGGGAAAGCCATGAATAAGTAAAAGAGGAGGTAACATGTTCCTTGGGTTTGGATGATGGAAAGATCTGACTTGGGGAAGATAGAAGGCAGATTTCTGGAGGTGGGGACCAAGATGTAGAATAGGAAGTACTGTGTTTACCTCCTCCCATGGCCATGACAATTCTACACTAAATATGACATAATCTTCATAGAAGTACACCTGAGATCCAGAGAAAAACTCCTACAACAAAGGACAGAAAGGCAACATCCAGCCATATAGGAGAGTCAAGGAAGAAAGTCTGTGGCATGGACAAGTAGGTGCAAAAAGAAGAATCCCTAAGGTTCAGGACTCTTCCCTGGGGTGCAGGTTGTGCCTGATATGGCCTCCCAAGCCTATCATCCATCATAGCAGAGA